GGCAAGCTAACACCCTTGTTCTGGTGAAATACCAATGCAAAATATTTATTTAGGAGTTCAGTTTTCTCCGAGTGTTGGTTATCAGCTATCCCATTATGTTCAGCAGAGGTCTTACACTTCCCTTATTTTTTCTCCTGCTTCCTACGTATGTGAAGAATGACTTTTTATTGTCCTAGATTTCTGTTGCAAATTTGATTTCAGTTTCTGACTGCTCTTCTAATCTGCTCCCTACAGGTGCGGGCCATTCCTGTATATTCCTTGCAGGTAATTCCCAGCTTTCATCTCTTAGAAGCTTCTCTTTTCGTTTTCAGGAGGTCCATGACCCCTCCCAACCCCAATGGCAGTTACGGGCTATGCTTGACAACCTTGCTTGCTGCCCTTGGACCAGGGCATCCTGGAACAGAACCTGCAGCTACAAGAACAGCCCCAGTTTGCCTGCAGGGGGGCACAGAGCATGCCAGTCACCCCCTCCCCCCACAACCCCAGATAACTGGGGGCTGTCAGTCACTGCTGCTGCCCTGAGACCAGTCCCTGGGACCAGCATAGCTGCAAACGTAGTCTGTTTTCCCACAAAGGGGGAAAGGGCAGAGGACATGACCCCACCCCAACTTCCCTCCACTAGCAGTCAGAGGTTAGCTCTCCCCTGAAACTACTTCTGGTTGATGCCCATGTGGCTTCAGTTGAAGGCAGAGTGCCTGTTGTGGAGCTGGGGGGAACCAAAGACAACTCCCTGATTACCTCCTGGCTGGAGAGTTCAACTTTGAGATTATTACACTGCTCTGGCCCTGGAATACGTGTATACCCCCTTCTTATCATGTTTTCCAGGACATGATGGGAAACACAAATGTCCTTGAAATTTTGTATGGCTAGAATGCTTTTCCATAGCCAAAGCCTATATCCTGGCACTTTGCTTTTGGGCACAAGCAGGCAGGAGTGCAAGAAAATAGGAAACCTTCGTTCCTCAGAGAGATGCAGCTCAAGTTTTAAGACAGTGGTGCTCAACCTTTTGGTCCCACAGGCCACACGAGTAGGGCGCCATGAGAAAAGTTGTAATTTCACTCCACACTGCAATTTAAGGATTGTGAGCATAGGCAGGGGAAGGCTGGGGCCAACAGGGCTTAAACCCCTCAAATGTTGGATAGTGCAGGGTGCTGCAGGGCAGCCTGGTGGCTGCAGCAGGTGGGACAGGTGTGCAGACAGACATGGAGCCTGCAGGTGGGTGGGACTGCAGCCAGATGGCATGTGGAACACTGCCCACAACAGCAGGTAAGTTGGGGAAAGGAAAGGGACATGGGGGCACATCGATGTCCCACTCCATCCCTCAGTATGGGGACTAAGGCAGGGGCAGGGCAGGGGCTGGGGTGAATGGGGCCCGAGGCAGGTTGTGGGACACTTGGAGCATAGGTGGCTCATCCAGAGGTGTGGGGGGTTCCAACACCTCCGTGTACCTGGGGCCCAAGGAGCATGTGCCCCCCAGATTTGTGCATGGGGCAGAGGCGAACTGTTGCTGTGGGCTAGGCTCTGCGTGCCACTGCCAGTGCCTCAGGAACTGGCTGCCACACGACTCCATGTGCCTGCCATCGATGGCTCCCAGAGCCAGCTTGCGAGGCACTGGCAGCAATTTGCAGAGCCCAGCCTGCAGTGGCAGCCTGCCTCTGCCCCATGCACAAATCGGGGGGGCATGCCCCTCCTGGGCCTCTGCTGAGGTGTGCAGTGGTAGTGCCTCTCCCCCACAAGCCACCTGTGCTCCGAGGGTCCCATGACCCGCCCTGGGTCCCATTCACTCCAGCTCCTGCCCCACTCCCTACCCCACTGTGGGGGCCTCGATCTGCCCCCCTCATGCCCCTTCCCCGACTTACCTGCTGTGGTGGGCATTGCTCTGTATGCCAGCTGGCTGCAATCCTGGCTACCTACAGGCTCTGTGTCTGTCCGTGTGCCACCCCATCCCCCTCCCTGCTGCAGCTGCCCAGAGCCTGTGCCCAGGCTGCCCTGTGGCCCTCTGCTCTGCCCCGTGTTTGGGGAGGAAGTTAAGCCCCACTGGCCCCAGCCTTCCACTGTCTATGACTGTGTGCCTGCCTGCAGCATGTGCATGGGTAAAATATCATTTTTCACAGAATATTCATGGCACTACCAGGATGCATTTGCCAACATCAATGGTAGTTCCATGAATATTCCATGAAAAAGATGATACCTTACCTGCTCACATGCCGCAAGTTTTAAACAAGAAATCCGCTATTTTCTCAGAGCCCTACACATGAATGGTGTGGGGCCCCACAGTATGGATGGTGCTGCCTGCCTAGATTGGGCCCGGAGGCCACCTGCTCCTGGTGCCATGTGGTGGGATTGGACCCTGGGGGCCTGGCGCCACCTGCTTCTGTGTGCTGCCCTCTTTTGGATCCCCCCCCCCAAACTGTGAGTGGAACCAGGGGCCTGGCACTGCCTCCAAATGGCACGGTGTTGGGATCAAGCACCCAATCCAATACAGGGCCTGGGACTTCCCCTGGGTCTAGAAATTTGGCAGCAGAGTGGTGCCAGTGTTCCCCTACCACCAAATTTCTGGAGCCCTATAGGCTGGATGACATGGCACCAGGGACCAAATCTGGTTCACAGACTGAGGGCTGATCACCCATTTTAAGTGCCATTTTTATTTTACCTATAACAATATACTTAACCTTGTGCTTCTAACAGTATAATGTCCTAGGTCAGTGATTTTCAAACTGTGTTCCACAGAACCCTGGGGTTCCACAACAGGTGATCAAGGGCTCCACAAAGAGACTGGGAGTTATGGTGGAGCAGGCCAGGAGACAGTATTTTGCTACTGTTGGGCCAGGTCGCTTCGCTCCGCATCAGCGCTCTCAGCTTGCGGAACCAGAGGTAAGGATTCCATGACAGAAGAAGTTATATGAAAAAGTTCCATGACTTTAGGAAGTTTGAAAACTACTCTCCTAGTGACACATGTAATATTTTACTGGTTAACTGCATGCATGTGAGAAAGTGAGACCACTAGAATATTATTGGGACAAAATTTGAAGGAACTGAATCCAATGAAGGCCAGCAATTAATATGTCCAGCTCATTATTCAAGATAATGAAAAAACCTCTGCCTTCCTCCTCTAATTCTAAGTTGCTTTGTTTCTTCAATTTCTTCAAATTAACAAGGAAGGATGGCCAACAGGCTCACTACCTTCCTTTCATATAATGCAACTCAACTATAAAACTGATTTTAAAAGAACCAAATCAGCATTCAGGACACAACTTATAGTTTCATAGACTTAGGGTCGGAAGGGACCTAATAGATCTTCTAGCCCAACCCCCCGCCAGGGCGGGAGAACAACAAAACCCCAGAACAAGAAACAGGACTCATTTGAGTCCAGCCAGGTAGGCATCCAGCCTCTTCTTAAAGACCCCCAGGGTAGGGGCCAGCACCACTTCCCTTGGAAGTTGGTTCCAGCTCCTAGCCGCCCTAACTGTGAAGTAGTTTTTGCGGATGTCCAATCTATACCTCCTCTCCATCAACTTGTGCCCATTACTCCTTGTTATGCCAGCAGGCGCTAGGGGAAACAGCGTCTCCCCCAAACCCTTCTGGTCCCCCCTAGTGAGTTTATAGACGGTCACCAGGTCCCCCCTCAGCCTTCTCTTGTGGAGGCTGAACAGGTTTAGGTCCCGCAGTCTCTCACTGTAGGGTCTGCCCTGTTGTCCCTGGATCATGCAGGTGGCCCTCCTCTGGAACTGTTTCTACTTCCATAGTTATTTTAGTCAAACTACTAGGGGCCCCAAACACTATTAAAATATATTACTTTCTAAAAGGCAATAGGCATAAACTTGAGTATAAAGTATGAATTGAAAATGATGAGCAGCTCTGGAATGCCATCTCACCCTTGTGCAGTCTGAATAAACGGCCTTTAAGTTAAGTGCATGTGTAAGAAATTTCTTGAGGCCTGCACCATGACTTCTTCCAAGCTGCATTTAAGAGACAGGACATGTAGGAGCCACCCATTACCTTGCTTTAAAACTCTCTCAAAAAAAATGCTTACCAGCTGCATAATCTCCAAAATACCTAGCAATGAATTTCCCTTCACCTAGTGAAGGCCTAGCTCACCCTATTACTTGTATGGCTCAGTACCAACTCAGACTCCAGTCTTTCACTTGAACTGAACTGTGAGGTAATCAGCTTTTTAAGAAAACTGAAGAGACGTGGGGCTTCAGCTGTGATGCAGTTTCAACAAGAGATTCTGGTAGGTGAATTCACAGACTTTTCCATAGCCAGCCCATTATTTCTCTCCTTTCTTCATCCTCAATCAGGCAGCCTCTCCCCTTCTCCTGGCCAAATCCTAACTTTTTAATTTGATCAAACTAAACTAGGTTCTCTCTTATGTATCTTTCTAAAGCTCTTAGTTCTTTTGATAAACTGATTCCTTTTATGTAAAAGAAGCACTGAAGCGCACCACCTACAAGTCCACTTGCAATGATGAGTTTTGTCTTCAATTTACTTTTAAGCAGCTTAAAAAATATCTGACTTGTCAAAGATTCATTTGCACGTAGTCTACATTTTGATCAGTAGATGCTTACTTATTTTTACAGAAGAAATTCTCCTCTCTGGTCCACAATACAGATCTCTTTACTCATTCTACTCTTTTTCTCCACCTGTACAACTGTCAAGGGAATTCTAAAGAAATCTTATTCCTATGGGAGTTCTGTGAACAAAGAGAGCAGAACATGAGTCTAAATCAACCAATGTGGCAGACAGCGAGCAGCAGTATTCCAACTAAATACATAAATAAAATCAGGTAGCCACCTGCTTTTGTCTTTCTTATGGTTTTGCAGGAGTTTCAGAAATCATGAAGTGGTAACTAGTAAAAGCTTCCAGCATCTTTCAACGCTTTCACAAGACCAGAAAAAGAGTCTGTACTTCTAAATTCTGTGACAACAAGCTTAAGGTTTTAAAGAGTCACATCCTCTGAAACCAAAGGCTTACTTGTATAAAATAGCACATGTTCTTACCAGCTGTTAGAATGGTTTTAGCACTTTGCACTAAACTGGAAGACCTCACAATTCCTGAAATGCCTATGTAAGAGATAAAAGATATAAAAACACAGATGTTATCCATTTTAATCTGTAACTAACAAAATGCATGCATGCAAACATACATATGTTACGATTTTCTGTTTAACAATGAAGTCAGACTTGAAGTAAAACTTAACATTATCCTAACAAAAAAACCCTATTTTTATTTTGCGTTGACACGTAGATTCAAAATTATTCTGCATTTTTTCTTCATTTTTATTTATATTTTTTAAAATTTTATACGTGAGGTCAATATTGCTTCTCAATGTAAGCAATTCCAAATTGGTAGCAGATAGAGCTCGATCCCATTAATTAATTTAATATTCCCCCCTTATGTCTGAGCCCAATTGACCATTCAGTGGTGATTACCAATTATATTTTTGTATCACTCAAGGCTTTGCAGTGCAGGGAACTTTTTTTTTTTGTTCCTACACATGCCTCTTGAAGCATCTCAAAGGGGCTCAAGATACTGCCAGAGGCATGTGCGCACTTGTCTGGATGTGCTCAATGAGTCTGCATTCATGAATGATCTGTAGACACCACTGAAACCTCATACTTCCAAAAAAGGATTTTAATTATAATTTTACCTTATGTAAAAACCCTGTTTACCATATTACACCCTCATGCTTAAGTCCAACACAACCTCTATATATACTGTTACACACTTAGGAATTCAAAAAATGTCTCTCTCAAATGTACATTTCTATCCGCCTATACATTAATATACTACATTACAAATTAAGCAGTAAGTAGAATGTTTTGAACAATCAGTTTTAATAAGAGCTACAAGATAAATCTTATTCTCCTTCACTAGAGAGATAAGTGGGGAAATTGCTGTGCAAGAGGGAGAGAACTGTGCTATTCCACTTAATGTATAAAAGTAAGTAATTGTTTTTATGAAGCAACAGATAAGGCTTGGTTAGTGCTTGTCAAGTATTTGAAGTTGTAGAAAGCTGTATAAATGTAAACTAAGTTATCAATATGCATAATACTATTACACCGGTGGCAGCAGCACATGCCTCTATACGTTCATAAATGATATGCAGAAAGTAAATTGGGATTTACTATTTGCCTTTTTTCACAGTATTAAAACTAGTGGATATACAATGAAATAATTAGAAAACAGAGTTTTAAACAGAAAGCATTTTTCCACGAGTTAATTCATGCTGTGTGAAACCACTGCCACAAAATATCTGCAGAGGCTGAATTTAACCAGTTTCAAAAGGGGATCAGAAATTAAATGTCATGTAGGTGCCATCAGTGGTATTACACATCATAGTTAAAGGTGCAATCTCGAAGTTAGGACCTAAGCTTCTAAAGTCTGGAAGCTATAGGAGGAGAGGAGCAGGGAACAGATCAGTATGGATACACGATGCTAAAATATTCTCCCCCTTAGCAACTGCCCTCTGCCAGAGATGCATTATATTGGGCCAGATGGACCTGTAGTTTCACACAATATGGCAACTCTTAGGTTCTTATCCATTAACTTGCAAATGCAACTAAACCTTGATCTGCAGGAACAACTCGTGAAAGTGAAATGTTCATTCTTTTTGCCCCAAGCCTGATCTCCGCAAGGCACCCCATGTGCATATTTATTAAATTGTATTGTGAGAATTCTGCCACTTACTGGAATTACTCCTCCAACTCCAAATTAGTTCTGCAGTACAAAGCACCTCTGCATAGCACTGACGCAATACAAAACTCAATATTTAACTGAAGCCCTAGATCTGTTCTGCCAGGCTAGGCAGTCCTATTGATTTCAAGCAACCAGAAATAAAGATAGATGTTCTAATTAAACTAACTCAATTTTATTTTAGATTTTGAAAGAGGGGCTTTATACTTTTTCATTCATATAAATAGATGCCAGTTAATAAGGTTTCAAAGAACCTGTCTCTATACCAATTATATCCAAAACATCTCAAGATCAAGTCTTTTTCTTCCCTTCAAGTTGTCAGGCTATACTCTATCAGAACTTCAGTGGCACATACTTAGCTGTGGCAGGATTCAATTTTTATCAGTAAAAGCTGATTTTCAACTCACATGCACAGACAACGGAAAATATTTCCATTGTTAATAACTAAAAAAGCAGGGAACAGAAGGGAGTCACAGGCTGAAGTATAGCAGTCCAATCTCTTTAAAAAGAAAAACAGCCTGTGGCCTAATGACTCATCAATAAAGCAGTTAGCTGCTGGTTCGCGGGTGCTGGAAGTAGGCTGGAGAAAGATAACAAGCTACTTAAGTTCTGGTTTTTTCATAGTCTTTTGGTTGTTTTCTTTGCCACTGTAGGCGTAGAAAATCTCTTATGTTGTTAATTTAAAATAAAAAATTGAAATAAATACTTACAAAACAAACAAATTAAAAAAAATAATCAAATTCTGCCAAGCCTACACATACTATAACAACATTTATTCTTAAATAGACCACGTCTTGAAAAAGAATCTACATGTTAATCTATAAACATACCCTGGTGTACCACTAATCCACAGTCAGGGTCATGGGCAACTTGCAGTAAAATCTCTTCCACGTCTCGGTTCTTGCCAGGAGGGTCTACAAGAGTAGTTATCTTTTGTTGCAGCGTCCTGGGCAAAGCCATTAATTGTGTGAATTGACCTTCTGGACTTTTATCAATCTGAACATTATAAAAAATAAGACAGTGAAAACTGTGAACTTAATCATCTTTAGGGGGAGCAGTAAACAAAATAGTTTCATAGTTGGTAGGGTCAGAAGGGACCTAAGCAGATCATCAAGTCCAACCCCCTGCCATGGCAGGAAAGAGTACTGGGGTCAAATGACCCCAGCAAGGTGTTCATCTAACCTCCTCAAAGACCCCCAGGGTAGGAGCCATCACCACTTCCCTTGGAAGTTGGTTCCAGATCCTAGCTGCCCTGACAATGAAGTAGTGCCTCCTTATGTCTAGTCTGAATTTACCCTCTGCCAGCTTCTGACCGTTATTTCCAGTAACTCCTGGCAGTGCTCGGGGGAACAGGGACTGCCCCAATGCCTGCTGGTCCCCTCTGACTAGTTTGTAACAGGCCACTAGATCCCCCCTCAGCCTTCTCTTTTGGAGGCTGAACAGGTTCAGATCCCACAGCCTGTTCTCGTAGGGCCTGCCCTGCTACCCCCTGATCATGTGGATGGCTCTCCTCTGGACCCTCTCCATGTTGTCCACATCCCTCTTGAAGTGCAGCGCCCAGAACTGGACACAGTACTCCAACTGTGGCCTGACCAGTGTTGCATAGAGGGGGAGGATCACCTCCTTGGACCTGCTCCAGATGCACCTGTGGCTGCATGACAAGGTGCGGATGGCCTTCCTGACTGCATCCCCACACTGCCAGCCCATGTTCATTTTGGCATCAATAATGACTCCAGGATCCTTTTTTGCCTCTGCACTGATGAGAAGGGAGTTCCCCAGCCTGTAGGTGTGCTGGTTCTTTCTCCCTAGGTGTAGTACCCTGCACTTGTGAGTATTGAATCCCATCTTATTCTCATCCGCGCACCCCTGTAACCTGTCCAGATCTAATTGCAGCCTGTCCCTTCCCTTCTAGCGTGCCCACTTTTCCCCACATCTTAGTGTCATCTGCGAAACTGAATAAGGTGCTTTTCACCCCCTCGTCCAAGTCACTGATGAAGATGTTGAACAGTGCAGGCCTGAGGACCAAGACCTGGGGGACCCCACTGCCTACATCCCTCCAGGTCAAGAATGACCCATCCACCACCACTCTCTGGGTGTGGCCCTCCAGCCAGTTGGCGACCCATTTGACCGTGTAGGTGTCGACACCACAGTCCTCCAGTTTTTTAATGAGAATGGGGTGAGAGACAGTGTTGAAGGCTGTCCGAAAGTCCAGGAAGACTATGTCCACTGCTACCCCTGCATCTAAGGATTTTGTGACCTGGTCATAGAAGGCCACCAGGTTGGTCTGACAGGACCTGCCTCTAATGAACCTGCGTTGGCTGCCCCTAAGCATAACCTCCCCTGCTGGTCCCCCATGGACATGCGCCAGGATAATTCTCTCAAAAAGCTTACCCAAAATGATTGCTCTTTAAAGCAAAAACGGTTTTGGGCTACCACTGGTCGCTCACAAAATTACCTAACATTACCTATCATTGCAAAAACTGAATGCCATCTATTTTACACACAACAATAATAAAATTCCCCCAATCCCTTCCAATATGCTCTCCCAGGCCTGAACATGAAAGACAACTTAGCAGGACTTACTGTGTTACCCAAATAGCATCACAACTACATACACATTCTGCGGTAAAAATAACCAAGTTACTTTTTAATAAATAAACAAACAGAAAAAACAAAACATAGCATCAAAGATCATGGAACACAGTATTCCATATTCCATTCCAGCTAGTTATTCTCCTGCCTGACTTCAGTCTAAAATGGCTAACCACCTCTCTGTTCAATATTCAATATGTCAAGTACATTCAAGGGTCATGATTTTCCTTAGTGTTGTATACAGGATATGTATGTTACAGGATTCTCCTTTTATATATTAATTTACATTCAAACTTGGTCAGAAATGCTCTATACTCTTTCTTAAACTTTGACCATGTTACGTTTATTTAATATACAGGAGGTATTTTGACTATCACTCCCTTGGCTCTGTTTTTCAACATATGCCAAAACATCTTTGACCATTCAATGGATCTTTTACTAAATTCAGCAGTACCTACAAGTAATCTTCCACACAATTGTACAACCTGACAGATGCAGGAAAGTTGACTTAAATATTCAAGATCTCCAAATCCAGCAAGAACATCTCTGATAGATCCCAAATGTGTGCATAAAATTGTAGAACATGCCTTCAACTATTAATAGAAATAAATCTCTTCATGCTATTCTGTTATATTTTGTTTTGATTAGGGTTAAAATGGCTGCATTTGTACTCTTTAGTTTGGGGAATGAGAGTATATATTTGCTTTTCCAAATTGTGCAATTTAACCTCTTTCAAATTAAACAATGAAATGCAGACCTCAGTCCAGTATCTTTAGATGGTGTTTCCCCTGCAAAGGTTTAAGTATCCAACTTGTCTCAACCTTACAAGTGAACAAATAATTTGTTTTGTGTTACTTGGTTTTGATTATTTTGCATGGTAATTATTTTGGCGTTAATGTAAGACAATGTTTTAATCTAACTATAGACATATTGGATAAATGGTTCTTTTCGAGTTTCTTCCTTCCCTTTATCATAAGTGCATTAAATAGTGCACTATAGACTTCAGTGTATTTAGAAGTACCCCAAATAGCTTTAAATAGGCTAGCACAGGTACCCATTTTTACTTAAACTAATTACTTCCCAAATTATTATTCTGAGCCATCTGTTTTGAACCATCGCCTTCATAATTTCTTTATTATGAAAGTCATTAAGCCACATGTTTTAAAACAGGGGTAAGGCAACGTTTTTGGCCGAAACACCAAAAAACGTACAATGTCTACCTTATAAAGTAGCAGAGTGCTGGCATGCCAGAAAAACAACACCAGGGCCGGGGATCAATGGTAGGACACACTGCATATTAATGTAGTTAACGACCATAATTTTTAGTTTTTTTCAGTAAATACCAGGTTATCTAAAAATTCTAAATCTGGTGACAATAAGTAAAACTTGATACACTACCTTTGTTGCTGTGTATTCTTTTTTGCTAAGAATGTTATAGAGAGAAAAAAAAAACTGAGAAAGAAGAGAAAGAAAGAGAGAAGAGAGAATCAGACACACACACACACAGAGAGAGAGAGAGAGAACCAGACACATATGCAGATAGAAACACACAGGACCAGACACACAACCAGAGATGCACACAGAACCAGACACACGCACATGGCTAGGCAACTGGGCTGCAGGACAAAGTCTGACCCGACAACACCCTGGACCTGTTGCAGCCCTTGTGCTTCTCTGGGGAGCTAGCACCCGGGCTGCAGCATGACTTGCTGAGGCCCTGGTCCAGAGCCCGCCCATCAGCCAGCTGCAGAGGCAGTGAAGGGGGGGAAGGAGGGGGGACGGCTATAGCCACCCCAAAGTTTGCCTTACCCCCCTGTAGCCCCCCCCCTCAGTGCTGCTGTCATCTGCCCTCCCTGCACAGCTGAGCTCACAAAGGTGCGGTGCTCCTGGCAGGGGCAATGCCAGCCTCTCCCCAGTAGAGGGGCTAGGCTCAGAGCAGGTAGGAGTGGGGTGGGTGGCAGGAGCAGTGCTGGGAAGGGTAGAGCCTCCCAGCCCAGCTGAGCCCAGCCCTGGCCCAACTGGGAAGAGGCTGCTGCTGCCCTGCTCTGGGGCCCTAATGCAGAGCTGACATTAGTGGCTGTGCCAGCCCAAGAGCAGATGGTGGGGGAAGGGACTGAGGTAGTACAACCCCAGGTCCTCTCCTGCTGTCTTCTTTGAGTCACACATGCTGTCACTGCCAGCACAGAACTGATGCTGGGGCTCTGGAGTCTGGCACAGCTGTAGACAGCCTGGGCTCTGGGCAGCTGTGACAGGCAGCAAGCAGGCTGCAAATCACCTCTGTGCTGGTGGCTGCACATATGCCTCAGAGCAGATGGTGGGGGAGGGGCCAGGGTTGTGCTGCCTCTGGCCCCTCCCCTGCCATCCACTCTCAGGTGCGTGAGCAGCCACCAGCTCTATGGAGCAGGTATCTGCAGCCTCCTGGCTGTAGCCAGCCAAGCCTCTATGTAGCTTCTGCCAGCCATGGGGCCTGGGCTGCTTCCAGCAGGCTTGAAGCCTCCCAGGCCTCTGTTGGGAGCAGCCCAGGCTCCATGGCTGGCAGCAGCTGCCCAGGGCCTGGGCTGGCGATGGCACACCAAGCAAAATGGCCTCATGTGCCGTGGGTTGCTGATCCCCATTTTAACACACCCTTTACCCGTTTCCTTGCCACTGAACACTAGTTACTATTTGCATTAACCAAGCCTTGGTCTCCGCAACTGGCATTTGTGCCATGTTTGTCAGCTGCTGACTTCGCTGATTAACCCAAGAATAATACATAGGAGACAGAGGAATTAGACAAAAAGGTCACAGAAGTGCACAGTGCAATTCCTGTCGTCTCTCAAAGAATTAAGCACACTCTCTTGTGGATTTAAAAAGGTATAACATGTACCACTTACCTCCAGCCTTCCAAGCTGATGCTTATATACTACCTGAGGGCAGTCCTGTAATATGTTAGCATAGAGCTTCTGAAAATGGGGCACATTAGGTTTCACTATGTTCTGCACCTTTAACCCATCTTCTCCAATTATCATTCTGAAATCACCTAAATCAAAGAAAATAAACCAGTTTATTCTCTTAAACCTAAGTAGCCAAAACACAAAGAAACAGAATATAATGGGAATTAAAATGGCATCGAATTTCCTTGAAAAACTATAATCTTTAAATATTTTCAAGCCACATACACTCCCCAAAGACAGGACCTGGTCCTTTATCATGCTATTCTGCCAAAAGCCCAGTGTTCACATTTTGCTAAAAAAAACAAACAAACCCCAAACACCTTTCCCATCCCTCAAAATTAAACACCCTCAGCCCATGTCTCCAAGGCTGGAGAAAAAAAAATGCACACACCTCTAAGTTTTGTAAGTTTTTCACATTCATGCAACAGTTACAGCAAGCAACCAAGTATAGTTATAAAGCACCCCAAAAATAGCATGTGTAGAGAGATAATGCAGGGCTGCTTCCATTCTGAGGGTAGAATTTGGAGCACAGATAGCAGCAATCAGCATCATATTACGACTGATGTCACCTTCTCAAGCAAAAGCTGCTGGCAAAGATATCCATCACAACTGCAAGGGAATAAATTTGATTTGCTTTTTTTGACTTTCTGCATTTTTAGTGACCCGTGCTTTTTTATTGCATGACTAAAGTAACCTCCCCCAAGGTGCAACTTGCAAGAAAAGATGTGGCCACTTAACATGAACGCCACAGAATACTACTACAAAGTAATCTACCTGTATTTTGCTCCACAATAAATTTACTTTTTAATAAGCAGCAATAGACTAATGTATTGGTGCACCTCTAGAGGATTAGTTAATAATCTTAAACAGCATATTTTAGTAAGTCTCTTTAGCAGGAGTTTTTATAATTTTTTCATGGTTCATTATTTGAGAAGGCTAAAATTTACAGGATTAAAAAAAATCTTCAATTAAGGAGAAAGTTTAGGAGCTCAACTGTTTATGCTTTTATTCTTCTCCACCTGCCTAATCATCTGTAAGACAGACAAGAGTTACTCAGTTTTTGCCTAAAGCAAGGTGTTTATCAATTTCAATACGGACTTTAGGATCTGGACTCACCACATTAGGTTATGTTCTTGTCTGGACCATCAGCTGCTACTTTTGGCAAGAGTTCTAGAATTTACATGGCAAGACAATTAGTTTCCTCCATTCTCTCTCAGCCTGAGAAAGAACGTTATCTATACACAAAGGCTGACTCACCATTCTATACAAGTCAAGCAAAACTCATCGCTACCAAGAATCATCATTCTGATTCACTGGCTAATTTAGGATCACTGGAAGTCTCAAACACCGGAAAAATTACCGGTGGAGGGGTTGGGGGAGGGGAATGGATTAACTAAGATAGAGCTGTCAAATTAATATTGTGACTTGGGCCAGATCCAAACTATGGTGCTCCTTCTGGACTGGACCCAGCACAGGGCATAGGGAAGTGTGGGTAACAGTTCTGGCTCCAACCTGGAGCACATAGAAGCAGCTCTGGTGGCCACATCAGCAGCTCCAGCTCTGACATAATAGCAACTCCAGCCCCTGCTGTGAGCCCTGTACTGAAAGCCAGAGCTGCTGCTGCACACCCTATGCTGCAGTGGCAGCTCAAGCTTGGGAATTGCAGCTGGGGCCAGTGCTGGGGAGACAGGATTATAGCAGTAGTGACAGGCAAAGTGGCCAGAGGGTGACCAGAGGTGGATCAGCCACTGTTTATCCATGTCCACTGGGGCCCAAGGGTCCTGGATTCTTCAGTACGCCACTCTTCCTGGCCATGCCTTGCCACTTCTAGTAGCCTGCTGGTAGTCCAACAGGCTGGATAGAGCACCTCCATGGGCTAAATCCAGCGCAAAGGCCATACGTTTGACACCTCGGAGCTAAGACAAATCAGATTCACCCTTTCCCAGTGGAGAAAAGAACCTAGTTTATTTTCAAGCCCTTGGAACACTAAAAACAGAATTTTCGGTTCAGGACACCTCAACAGGAAAATGAGGTAGTTTTCCCACTATCTAAGGGCATTTTTCTTTCAAGTTTGCAGGTCAGGTAGTCTTGAGAAACAGTTTTGTGTACCTACAAAAAAGACATTACTTTTAGAAGTTTTACAAAAAAGTATCGTTTTTGTGGTCTGCAAGCATAAAGTGGCTATCACAGCCTTATCAGAAAGCCATTCATAGAATCACAGAAAATTAGGGTTGGAAGGGACCTCAGAAGGTCATCTAGTCCAACCCCCTGCTCAAAGCAGGATTGTCCCCAACAAGATCATTTTAGACAGAGCTTTGTCAAGCTGGGCCTTAAAAACCTCTAAGGACAGAGATGCCATCACATCTCTAGGTTGCTTGTTCCAGTGCTTCACCTCCTTCCTAGTAAGAAAGATTTTTTCCTGATATTCACTCTAAACTTCCCTTGCTGCAACTTGAGACTACTGCTCCTTGTTCTGTCATCTGTCACCACTGAGAACAATCTAGACTCCCTTCTCGTTGGAACCACTTGTCAGATAGCTGAAGGATCCACCTCTGGTCACCCTCTGGCCACTTTGCCTACCACTACTCCTATGATCCTGTCTCCCCAGCACTGGCCCCAGCTGCAAATCCCCCCCTCAGTCTTCTCTTATGCAGACTAAATGGCTAAGTACAGACATTCAAAAAGCCCAAGCCCGAATTGATTCAATCTTTGCAGGTTAGTTTAACCTGCATAGGTTGAACTGGCAAGCAAACAAAGACATTCACTTTTGATTCCAGAAACACAGCCACATGCCTGCAGTGGCTCAAGCTAGAAGCTGGGGAGTACTAGAGCCCTCCCCTCCCTTCGGCAGTGGCCAGAAGGCTAGAGGGAAGCTGAGCTAGGAGCCTGTGGCCAGGCAGAGTATGACTGAGGAAAGACTTAAACCCCACCCTGGCCTCCACGGTCCCCAGCTGAGGTCTGTCTGGAGGAGGAGTGGGGCAGCAGCCCTTGCTAAGCATCCCCAGCACCCTGTTCACTGAAGGAACGCAGAAGCTTCCCCCTTCCCTGGGTGGGTACCATTAAATTTGTTTGGACTGAGAGACTTCATGGTGCACAGTACTCAGAAATGTTGTTTAATGCTGGACTTAGACATTGGAGGCTGCTTGAACTTAGAGCTGTTGAGGATTGTGAAATCTGTTCCAGGGCTCAGTCACTTAAACTTGCCAAACTGGTTTTGCAAGGGAGGGAGTACAGATGAAGTTGGAATTCAGGACTTTACTCCTTTTTGGACTGACTTGATATGGCAGGCTTGGTGAGAAAAGAGCACTGGAACTAGAAAAGTGGACAATAAGAAAAAGAGCTCCAGATTTTTGGAGTAAGGATATATTCTGTGGACCAGGTGTGTTTGTACAATTTTGTGACCAACGGTCCTCTCAGAGTCTCTGAGCACATAAACCCTGGGTGAATAAAAAGACAAACAAAACAAATCATTCTGGAAGGTTACTATTGACACACAAAGCTTTAACTAAAGAGACACAACAAAAGGAAAAGCTATTGAAGACAGTGAAAGAAGAATCGAAGAAGGCAGAGCACTGTGGCTTGCTGAAGCAGCACGGGGGGGGGGGGGGGGGGGGGGGGGGGGGG